AACTCGACGACCGCAAACGCGGCGGGGGCGCCCGCAGCGCCGAGGGCTGTGCTCGCGGCGCTGCTTGCGGCGGTCGCGGCGGCGCTGCTGTGAGGGGGCAGGGCCATGCGGCGCCGCGGTGTCACTGGCGCAATGAGCGCCACGGTTGCGTGGTGCAATTTGCTTCCTTCTGAATGGGATGCAAGCGTATCTCCGCATGCAAGGGACACTTCCTCATGTGTTTGACCATGGTTTGACCGGCCCGCTCCTCGCACGCCCACCCATGAGACGCGATTTTCATTGTTTGACTACAAAACAGATTTTAGGCGGTAGCGAACGATCCCCCACACCTGCACACCTGAAAATAAGCAGCAGAGTAGCACTTTTCCCGGCTCGCGCATGCCGCCGACGACTTGATCAATTTCGCCCCGCCTTGGGGCGCGCGGCGCTCCGGCGCGTCCTGTGTCGCGCCGCCCAGCCTGCGCTGTTTGCATGAGCCACCATGCCACACGTCCCGACCCGGAGTCCCCATCGTCCCCATCCCTCCTGCATATACCTAGGGATGTTGCACCCCGCCCCTGTGGCCGGGCGGCTCGGGCATGTCACACGTTTGCGCCACTTGGCAGGGCCGCGGCGCGGTTGATGCTCAGTTGCTTTCTGAGCCCCACTCTGTGTGAGGCGCCGCATCAGGCCTGCGTGCTCTGCTTCCGCAAATGCCTGCAAGGCGTCCGGCTCCGATTCAATAGGCATATGAGTTGCTGGTTTGCTGTAACGAACTAAACCGCCTCCCCGTGATGCAGGGGGGGCTCAAGCGCCTGCGGCTACGGGGCCAGTGGCAATCGCGCACGGCGCGGGCGGAGCGCGTGCGTTTGTCAGTCGCAGCGACGGCGGCAGTGGCAGATATGCGCCGCCGCCGGCGCCGATAAACCAAACGGGGGTGCCTGGCTGCTGTACAAATGGAAGGAGGCTGCTCGTCAGTGTGGCGGCTGCCGGAAGGTGGGGGATGTGGCAGGGCTGCGTGATGGTCGCCGACATGTGGCTGGTGCGTTGGCTTGGGATGGAACTTTTGGTGTCGTGGGGGCCGGAGCCGTAGGTCCCATCACTTGAAGAGGGCGAGGTGGCAGCCGCACGCATATCAACCAATCAACCATATCATCGTGAGGTTGTGTCGAATTTAACGTTACACGAGCCCCCGCGGTTCGACTGTTGCCGCTGGCGTGGCGCGCGCGGACTAGTCCCGCTGCGCGGCCGCCACGGCCGCCTCCTCCTCGCGCCGCTGCTCGCCGCTTTCCCGCAGGGCGTCCTCGCCGCCTTGCTGCTCGTGCTGCTGCTCGTGCTTCTGCTCCTGCTCCTGCTGCTGCTCCTGCTGCTCCTCCTGCTGCTGCTGCTGCTGCTGCCCGACCTGCTGCCCCTCCTTGGCGCCCGCGTCATCCAGGGTGCAGATGGGCAGGAAGTAGAACGGCCACTTCCTGCCGGCCGGCAGCGAGAGGGACGTTGCATTCGGCATTTCAGGGCAGGTCTGAGGTTTGTCTGGTGTGAAACAGATTCCCAGCAGCAGTCAAATGCGCAAAGCGCTTCCGCCAGATGCCACCCGTGCATGCCGTTGCGGGCGCGTGCCACCAAGGCGTCCTCATCGCCAGCGCGCCGGCAGAGCGCCGCGCCGGCTGCAACTCCTTGACACGGGGCTGGTCCACAACAACCCGCGGCCACCGAAACCCCAAATCACGGCGGCCCCTCCGGGCACACCAGGCGCACCGCGGCCTCCCACTGGTGGAGACCCCCAACGTCCATCCCAAATCAACCCACCGATCCAAACCCCGCGATGTTTGAGGAACGACACGCCACCCCCCCCCCAGGCCCAATCCCTCCCTCACAGGCCCTTTGCTCTGCAAACTGACTAGTCCAGACCCTGAACGCAACCATGCGAAATAACCAGCGCCCCGTGAGTGCTCACATTTCACCTCCCACAGCTACCTTCACTCGCCCCTAAACCCAACCGCATGAGACATCAAAACCCAGCAGCCCCTCCCGACCCCGCCCTCCGCCCCCACCAGTACTTGTTCTTCACGCCCCTCCACACGTCATCCCCCAGGTCGTTGACTGCCATCTGGCGGTACTCAGTGGTCAGCCCCAACCGCTGCAGTTCCAGCTGGATCAGCCTGGTGA